CACTATCACTGCTGTTGTAACTTCATACAGTTGTTAAACAAATGGTTGTAAGTTGGCGACTACCTATAAAATCTCTACTTTCTATAATTGCTTCATTAGCTGCACCCCTTTTACCCCTCACATAAAAAATACAGCTCCTAGTGGTCTAGTCCTCTTCCAGAAGCTTACATTCTCAAAAATAGACCAGACACCTGAGAATCCCTGAAGCATGAGAGTGAGATTTCATCAAAGCAACAAGTTGATGAATTTTAACGTGTCTCTCACTGGATTGTAACCTGCTCAGAATATGAATTATTGTGAAATGCCCTGTGCAGGGTGGCTCGTATAAAACATTTGGAATCTTGAGATGGTCCAGAATCCAGCTGCTAACTGTAGTCACAATTGATGATAGAAAGATTTTTATAAAACACCACCTCAGTGTGTGCCATCGCCCTGTCCCCCCAATCAATTGGAAGGGATGGTTGTAACCTATAAAGTCATATTAAGTCAAGTCATGATGGCCCCCATATTGTTAACTTTGTGGGTGTCCTTTTCAAGGAAAATTAATTTTATTTTGACAGTCCTTTGGTGAATAAATAGAATAATGTTTTGAACTCAACGTAGTTGTTAAAGAGTTTGAAATCAATTTTTGGGGACACTTTGAAAATGTATTTATTCATATCCTGGCTTTATTATTTTTACAAATAACTCAAGGCAGCGAATATATCCAACATATTTTCCTTCTATTTTATTGCCTCTTAACTATATTTCAAGTTTAAATCACTATTTTGAGCTCAGAATTTATTATTGTTGACCACAGAATACTTCTGAATGGCTGGAACATTCCAAGTTGATCTTGAAATGGGTCAACTCAACAGCCAAAACCACTTAACACACCAAAGGTTTTATTCGTTTTATTTGGTTTTATTCATACTTTTAGTTGTCTGGACTGCCAATTTTGGCAGAAAGATGGGCATAGATATAGTGATGATTTTTTTAAAATCTCAGATGGGAAACAAGCCACTGATTTAAAAAATCATCATGGAGTTGTAGAGAATGAAAGCAAGTAAGGTTGCCTCAGGGATAACAACTATTTTTTCCCTAGGTTTGCAGGCAACCAAAAGAAAGATATTAATAACATTACTTACACCCAAGTATCATAGGGTTGTTAGTGATCTTGGAGGTCATCTAGTCCAGGGGTCTGCAAAAATACTCAAAGAGCCATTTGGACCCATTTCCCATAGAAAACAAAACACCAGGAGCCGCAAAACCTGGGTGGGCGTGGCTAACTCAACATCACTCCCACCCAGTCACATGACCCCCCTCCCAGCCACGCCTACCCAGGTTTTGTGGCTCCCAGTATTTTTTTTTCTCTAGGAAACAGCTCTTTCTCTCTCTCTCTCTCTCATCTCCCTCTTTTTCCCTCTCTTATCTCTCTTTCTCCCTCTCTCATCTCTCTCCCTCCCTTTCTCTCTCCCTCATCTCTTTCTCCCTCTTTCTCATCTCTCTTTCTCCCTCTCCCTCATCTCTCCCTCATCTTTTTCTCCCTTTCTCCCTCTCTCTCTCTCATCTCTCTCTCCCCCCCTCCTCATTTCTCTCTCTTCCCCCCCCCTTGTGTGTGTGTGTGTGTGTGTGTTCCCTCTTGAACCATTTCCAAAAACAGGCGAGGGTTGGGGTTGTTGTTGTTTTGCTGATGTTGTTCTTTCTTCTTCTTTGGGTGCTTTTTACCATATGATTTAAATCAAGAGTCATTTCAGGTTCCCAGATAAATAAAGCTCTTTCATCCCCCTGCTGTGGCTTCCTGTCAGCTGAACCCACCACTGGCTGGCCCCCAGGGGTGGAATTCAATTTTTTTAACAACTGGTTCTGTGGGTGTGGCTTGGTGGTCATGTGACTGGGTGGGTGTGGCCAACTCAATGTCATTCACATTGAGAGGTGCTTCTCCTCACCTGGCTTCTCGTGACTCTGGGGATGCTGTAATGGTCGCAAGTGTGAAAAATGGTCATAAGTCACTTTTTTCAGTGCCATTGTAACTTTGAATGGTCACTAAATGAACTGTTGTTAGTCAAGGATTACCTGTACAAAAATACAAAAAGCTTCTTTGCTTGCAAAAAGCTGCCCTAAATACCAGTTGTTAGATTAAAAATACCTGCAAGCCGGAGTTACAAATTAGGCAGGGTGGCAGAGCACCTTGAGGAATTAAAATAGTTAAAATGCAATGATAACTATCAACAGCCAACTCTTAAAGTGAAACCCAGAGGTCATTTAAGCTCTCCAGAAAGAGCACACCCAGGAAAAGCAATCCTTAGAACCATTTGCACCACTTAAAGATACCAGCTGGTCTCACTCACCTCACAAGATATCCTAAGGAAATCATCCAGATTTAAGGAAAGGTCACATGCCCCCCAGAAAGGCAGTAAAAAAATCAGTGCCAAGCTTGCATCCTGCCTCTTGGAAGTACACCCCAAAAGGACAGTGCCAGGAACCACTAAAGCAGTGAAGGAAGACCCCCTCCCCAGATAGAAAAAGAAACCATGAGGCAGGAAAAAAAATAAAACACAATACAAATAATTAAATCACAACAGTAGCTGTTGCTTGTTAAACCAATTACCAGAACAAATAGACACAGGAACTTGCCAGATTTCTCAACCCAGTTTCTTTTCAGGAACAGAGATTAACCTTTTTCCTTCCAGACAAAGCTGAATAGGGAAAATTATCCCATCAATAAACACAGGATTAAACGTCACCAAGGACAGAATTAAACGTCACCAAAAACCAGTTTTAGACCAAAACTCAGAAAGGGTTTGTAAACTCCCATTTGAATGTCAATCTTTCTAGCTAGCCAAGAAGCCTTGCTGAATGTCACTTATCTTGGTTCCTTGTCATTAAAAGCTCCTTTCCAGTTATTCAATTATTTCTTCAAAGTGCTAATTGTTGCATGTGGCTGGTGTCAACTCATAAAACATTTTGTATACACGTTTTATAGTTGACAACAGAAAGAAGGAGGGGAGTTTCAAAGAGCAGGCAGCAATGTTGAATCGAAAGTACATTCCATTCGTATTTTCTTCAAAGACTGATTAGATGACTGAAGCTTCTGCCGTGCAAAAATCTAATTGGAGAGCATGATTGATGACTCTTGGCTATAGACGTTTTTCATTGGATTATACACCCAGAGGGGTTGGGAGGGAAAGCAGGATCAAGGGTGACAGTGAATTATGTATCTCAGAGTTGGCTATGCCCAGCTTAATGCCAGACGTAGAATGTTAACTTCAAATAAATCTTTTTTAGTTTTGGGAGTGTGGCTCAAGGCTCATGATTTAATTGGAGTAACTGCCGGAATCCTGACAGCTGGAAGTATATCCAGGGGAGTATCTCCTCCCAACAGCAGTGTAAAAAGCTTAAAATAACCCTTCCCCTTTAAGAAAGTAAAAAAAAATCCCTCCTTTGGAGACAGTAAGACTAGGCTGTCTACCAAGAATGTAATAAGGGTGGAAAAAAACAAAAGGAGATTTCTTCTAACTACTAGTTCTCTGAACTGTTTAGAAAGTTAACAAGGAGTTCTATAGAACCGATCAGAACCAGTAGAAACCCACCCCTGCTGGCCCCGCCCCACCCCTCGCCCTCCCCTCCCACTCTTCGCCTGCCCTGAAAAGAGAAAGGTGACAGCGGCAGATGGAGACTCGCTCCGTATTCCAGGGCGGGAGCGAAGCACCCCTCTACTTGTCTCTTCTTATGGCCCTTGTTGGTACTGTGCGCACCTCGGTTGCTTGGGGAGACATGAGACTCTCTCAACCCTGAGACACTGTCTTGAGCTGGCTGCATTGTGAAGCCCATTAAATTTAAGTGTGCTGCACAAGGTGCAAGCAGGCCATGGAGGTGGCGAGAGGAATGCACGTCTTTCTCTCCGTCCCGACAGTGATGCCACTGCTCTCACTGCCTCCATGGCCTGCTCGTGCAGCACACTTAAATTTAGCGCACTTCACAATGGGGGAGACAGCATCACCCCCTCCTCCTCCTGGAGCCCATTACAACATGGAGCATTGCCTGCAGCTGGCCTGACCAGTGTTTCGAGGCAGAGAAAAGTCGCGTGTCTCCCCGAGTGGCCGAGATGCACGCAGCACCAACAAGGGTCGGAAGAAGAGGCAAGTAGAGGGGCGCTTCGCTCCCACTCTGGAATATGGTGCCGACGTCACCCTTCCCTTCTCAGGGCAGGCAAGGAGTGACTGTGGAGGGGAGGGCGAGGGGTGGGGCCAGCCAGTGGTGTGATCATCCAACCGGAACCCCAGGAGAGGGCCCAAAGAGCTGCATGCAGCTCTGGAGCCGCACGTTGCTGACCCCCGGTGTAGTCCAACCTACTGCCCAAGGCAGGAATCCTCAAAAAATCTTGGACAAATGGTTGTCCAATCTTTGCTTGAAAAGCTCCAGTGATGGATCAGCCACAACTCCAGGAGGCAAGCTTATCCCACTGCTTAATAATTCTCATTGCCAGGAAATTCCTCATTTCCAGGTTAGATCTCCCTCTGATGAGCTTCTACCCATTGCTGCTTCTCCTACTCTCAGGTGCTATGGAGAAAGCACATCTTCCCTGTAGCAGCCCTTGAAATGTTGGAATACTTCTCTGTGTTAAGTTTAACATATCTAGTTCATTTAGCCATTTTTAATAGAATTTAGCCTACAGACCCCTTATCTTTGTTGTGCTTCTCTGCACCCTTTCTAGGGCCTCAGCATCTTATTTGTATTATGGTAACCAGAACTGCATGTAGTATTCCAAATGTGACTTCATCAGTGTGAATGGTATAGAAATAAAATGCTTATCTGCTGCTTCTGGTTAAGGATTAATCAGGATTAAGTGTTCACTATTTGAAAAAAAAAATAGGTGCATGCTGTTTATGTACTTGACTAATTTGCCACCACTTTGGATTTCTCATTTTTGTTTTGGGATTTATAGTAGCCAGTAATGTAGCATCAAAACAGTACTGTTCCAAGATGATGGTGTCATACATGTCTTTCTCCCCCTTCAGAAGATGCCTTTGAGAACCTTCGCATTGATCCCTTCTCCAGCCCCCCAGAGCTCCCAGACGTGATGAAGCCTCAGGACTCTGTCAGCAGTGCTGAGCAAGCAGTGCAGTGAAAGACCAAGGCTAGTGGAGTTTGCTGCACAAGCCATGGTATCCTTGAACCCTTTTCCCCTAGCCTCATCTGACATGGAAAAAGATATGGTGTCATCCCTTGTCTCTGATCCTGGTTTCCCTTTTAGCCTTCCTCCTCTAAGCAAGACTACATGTCACCCTTCTAAGCCCAACCTCACTCATCTGACAAAGCTGTTTTCACTTTGGTTTTGAAAATAATAAAAGGTGAGCTGTTTTTTTCCCCCTTTTTGTCTTGTGTTGTATGCCTGTGCAGTGAAATGGAAAGAAGACCTTAGGACAACGGGGAGGTGATATCATGACAATTATTCCATAAACATTTCTGCAACAATTATTCTGCTCATGTCTTTATGTCAAACTGTCTTTCCTGCTGTCTTAAAGATGAAGCAAGCTAATCTGTAAATATGCTACTGACACCTTCTAAGGCAGCCCCAAAGGTGCTTTTTTTTCTTTCAAGAGGCAACTGGACTTACTTTGTTTTTATTTCCATCATCCAAGAAGTGAAACATCTCCAAGGAAAAACAAAGTCCACTTGCCTCTTGAAAGAAAAAAAAAGCACCTTTGTGACAACCATGACCTGGAAGACTGAGAATCAGTCTTCAAAGGCAGCTTTCATCAACCTGTAACTTTCCATTGTGTTGGGATTCCAACATCGAAATTTTGTAGAAATGTGAATTTCTTATTGCCCACCAAGCCTAAGACAGACTCCTCATATATTAGGTAACATTAGGGCTCTTGAAACTGCTATATGTAATCACATGTCACTGCAACAACACCCATGCAATTAATCCTCTACTTCATGATCAACCTGGTGCCCTCCACATGTCTTGGGCTGTGAGTCTCACAATCCCTTCCCATTAGATGTGCTGGCTGAAGCTGATGGAGTTGACATTAAAATACTTAGAGGTTACCCAATTGCCTACTTTATCACTGTCGTATTGCTCGCTCAGTCTCCTGACTTTTTTTTTTTAACTAATTGTCAAATCTAGGTTGCAAGTTGAGAGTTTAGTCTGTGACATCAAAGCTGATGACTCTACCATCTACTTGCAGGTGACAATTCCACTTCCCCCTCACCAAGCACACAAGCAAACTTCTTTCTGCTAGCAGAGACCACAAGCCAACCACATCCTGTCTCATAAAATGGCGGTAAAAGCCTTGCCTGGTTCTCTGCAATTTCTGCCCATATAAGGCAATCGGCGATGAGCGCTATAGCTCACCACTCATCCAATCACATGAAGCCTAAGTGCAGCACCTAAGCAGGAAGTCTCAGTCACACATATACACCAATCTGGGCAAGGAAGCGAAGGGAGGAGAGGAAGCATCTAGCAGGTTGCAGTGAGGAACAGGGAGGGGATCTGGAAACCAGGACTTAAAGCTTCGTGACTGAAGAAAAAAAACCATGGGTTTGGAGAGGGATAAATAGAGTCAGGACTGGAGAAACAAGGTTCTCCGGACAGAGAAATGGAGCAAGAAATATAGGGGTGTACAGAAGAAGGAACTAGATGTTGGAGCTTATGTACAAGAGCCAGAAGGAGGTACATCTCTAAATGGTTACAGAAGGACTGGATGGAAGTGAATGACACAAGATGTCTGTTGCCTTTGCACCCAGACTCATGCTCATATCAAAACCTGACCCCTGCCTGCCTTCTGCCCTTTATCATGTCAGAAACACTGGTTCCATTACAGAAAAGGAGGGATCCTTCCTGTTCCATATCTAGCATGAGGTTCTCATTTAGAACATTTCATTTAGTACAAGAACAAAAAACATTGTCTAAAGGGTCAAATTACCATAACAAAGCAACACTACTCCATTGGGCTTTTCTTTTGAAACTTGATAGTCCAAGTCATAATTAAATTGGGAATATCTTCAGTCCTTTTTAGTGCAGCTATTTTTATTAGCCTCACAAGCTTCATTACTAAGCCCATGTTACAAATGGACAGAAACTGAAGCTGAAAGTTCACATTCTGCACTAAGCTAGAAATGGTATTTCTTTAAACCCTTTTTCCCCAGATAGCAAGGCAAGTAGATAAAACTCCTGGTACAAGGCCAGCTATGTATGTGCATGTTTGATCTTTGACTCTGTGGCTGACTAAGATAACCAGGAGAAGATTGGTTGATCAAATACCCAGACTGGTCAATACTTCACTGGGAGAAATTGTATAATCCAGATTTAAGCTGACTTTGGGAAACCTCTACTGAAGAAGTCTACTTCTGGGTGCACCAAGTTGGGTAATTTGCTGCAAACCTCAATGTAATATTCCTGTGTGAGATGCCTTGTAGTATCTCAGTTCTAGTCATTCTTAGATGAAAAATATCTAGCTCTAATTTAATCTGAATGCAGGCCTGGGTTAAATGGCAATATAACATTAGTTATCCTTATAGATTATTTACACCAGGCAAGGCAGAGGGTGTGTCTACTGGCCTTCCAGAGTGGGCTTAGGATGTACCATTATACATTAATGTTGGGGGATTCATGGACAGCCCTTTGGACACAAATACACCATGTTTTCAGAGGTGGGATGCTCACGGTTCAGCCCGGTTCTCCCAAACCAGTAGCTCCGATAATCAGCTGAGACCGAACCGGTTCACTCTGACTATCTTCTATTCTTCTGTTTTGCCCACCAGAATGTTAACAATCTATTGGTGCCTCAATTTCAGCTCTATGTCTGGGTCGCTCAGGTGGTGACTACCACAAAGAGTACCTTTGGCCAGGTTGCCAACTACATTCACTTCTGATGAGATCAGACCTGACTACAGTAACACATGCCTGGGTGAAATGTAGACTAGTTTCTGAACTGTATATCTGATAGGGGTTACTTTTATTTTTAAATTTTTTATTAAATACTTTATTGAATACAAAAGATTAAAATATACAAATATACAAAGGTAAAAAATAAAAAGTCATACAAAAAAACATCACAACACATTCTGTAGTAAGACTAATCATATTTTCCTCTAATACATTTTGATAGTGATTTAAATATCTCATAGAAAGTATTAAATGGCAGTTACCTCCTGATAGGGGTTACTTTTAAAGAGTCTTCACAGACGCCAACCAGTCCAGAATGCAATGACAACATTTGCAGCAAGATCTACAAGGATTCCAATGATTACCAGTTTGTTCTCAGATTTATCTCAGAGCAATGGTGATATTTTAAGTTCTAAATGCATTAGGTCCAAAATACCTTAAGGACCATACAAGCACATCTATTTCCTAAGTTCTGAAGGAGAGACTCTTTATATCTCAATGGTGGCCAAGGTATGTTTCACTGGAATAAAAAGGCCATTCTCATTCACTCTGGCTTTCTGACTCCCACATGCAAGTTTTGAGAGGGCACTGCTTTTTAAAAGAAAAAAGAAAACCAAAGTAGCACATTAAGCCTATGGTAGCAGACATTTATAAAGTTAGTTTGTTTTAAACTAAACAGATAGGGATTTTTTAAAAGCTATGCTACTTAAAGCTTCAGAGGCTATATTGACATCAGATACTTAATTCTAATGAACTCTGTTTGGTTCTACCTAACTGTAATGTGCAAAACTGCAAATCCAGCCACAGTGGTATAGAAAGCATACTTAGGAATAAGCAGGAACTAGTTCACAGGTTCATTCAACACATCATGGTTTAGTACAACATGAGAATCTTGAGAATGACTGGTCAATACTTCAGTAAGTATCCATAGCAGAGAGGAAACTTGAACAGGTTTTACTCCATAGCTAGGCAGAAATGTTTAAATTAATGTAATTGATTCATCCTTAAGAGTAATTGGATAAACTCAAACAAATCCTGTCTTACCTAAATACCAGTGATTTCAAACAACCTAGACTATGGATAATTAAATCCAGGTCCAATTCTCTGTTGATAGGTATTCATTAGCATTGTACACATTACCTTCCTGCATCATTCCAGTCTCAAAAATCACCTAGATAGAAAAAATGCCTTAATTTTTTTCCTTTTCTCCTTTTTTTCCAAAGACTATACCACTGAAAAATCATGAAATGCAAATGAGTCCATGGTGAGGATCCAAGGAACAATTGTACAGGGACAATGAACAAGGGTCTTTCCAACAATGCTTAACTTCTACAGGTTTTAATCCCACTTCTGCTCTCCCCCACAATTACACATGCAAACAGAATGGGGAAGTGAAGAGAATATAATTGGAGAAGCAGGTGGGCTGTTGGGTGAGGGAAAGGGAAGCTAACTAGTTCTTTTTTTTTTGCCTAATCAGTAAAATAGAAATTAAAAGTCTGGGGTTTAAGATACACATGATATCTTCCACCTGTGTGGTTGTGTGTTGAACCCATAACTATGTAGCAGCCCCTAACAAATTAGGTACTTTTAGTACTTTAGATTTAGTACTTTTCAGTGCAGCCTTTTAATCAATTTTTTAAAATGCCCTGATTAATCTTAGTAACAGGATTGGTTTTAATGTTAATTATTTGTATAAAAAACCCTATCAAACAACTTCTTCCTCTTCACCACCACAAAGGAAATGCTTGCAATAAATAAGCTACATAATTTCCTCTGTGTACACACACACAAAGTACACTCTGTTCAAGGGGAAAAAAGGTTTAATTCATATGCTAACTTACCCAGCTTCAATCTATTAAAATCAATATGAGTTTGGTCAGTTCATTTAATCACATAGCCACTTCAATTTGTTTAGGAAAAAGGCCCTGTAGAAATTCCTGTTAATTCAACTTTTTAAACCAGATGTCTCCAAATGTCTGGGAATCACAAATTCACACAATTCAAACCTTACAGGCTTAAAACAGGTTTGCCACAGCTGATTGAAAGCCATGGGAGTAATGTCAGATTGCCAATTTCTTTCCCCAAACTTACATGTTAGTAAGAGAGAGCTTTTTTTTTTTCTATCACTTCATATACAGATAAAGAACATTTACACTTGTGAAATTTCATGCTATGCTTTAAGGGTACATGAACAGGTCTAAATCAACAGGGAAAATACACAAATTGATGAGCCTGGCCACAGACAAAGCACAACACTGTTCAACCTTAGCTTCTAATTCTGTGTATTCAGTAGAACAGAATTCTTTAGAATAGAATTCTTTATTGGCCAAGTGTGATTGGACACACAAGGAATTTGTCTTTAGTACATAAGCCAGGGGTGGGCAAACTACGGCCCGTGGGCCACATCCGGCCCGTTGGTCTGTCCAATCCGGCCCGCCCCTGAAAAAAAATCGCTGGGTGTGGCGTA